GGGGGGAAACAATGGGCGATCCATCTGTGTCAGGGCAAGTGGGCAGCACCGTGGAACCTCTGGCAACACCATCTATCACAGGAATTACACAAACACAAGGTCAGGGTGCTCCTGCTTCCAGTTCCTGTGTGATGGCCCCGTTTGCACCTCCAGGACCCCGGCTGGCCCTCGGACCATCGTTTCTTCTTGGGTGCGTTCTCGTGGAGCAACAAGAGGAGCTGTCGTCTCACAGTGGGAAGGTCAGCGGTGAGATGGGATCAGACTCAGCCCAAACCCCACGACAAGACATGAAATCCATTTAGTGGATATTTGTCAGTGTCAATTTATTTATATGGCACATGAAATAACAGAAGTTGATCAAAGTGCTTCACAATTCAGCCAAATGAACAGAGAAAACAAAGAAACACAGACGTGTTCAAAAATTACATTGAAAATAAAATACAGAAAAATAACATTAAACCATCAGCTGTAAAGAATCTCAAACTCYGCAAGAATCAAAAGTGCAGAAAAGATAACTCCTAAATATATATTTAAAAGTCTCAGTGGTCCGAATACAGAAAGGTAAACCACCCCACAGGACTGAAGCAGAAAATRCAAAAGTCWGATTCCCTCTGATAATTACCGYAGGTCTAGRAACATCTAGGAGAGGGGACCAACAATTATACTTAAACGTACATATATGGAATCGTAAATTTTAAAATCAGGTCAAAGTTACCTGAAGACAACAAGAGAGTTGTAGCTGTTTATCTAACCAGTTAATTTCTATTGTGATAGAGCAGATGATGTCATGTTATTTGGGGTGGGGTATATTATAACGACTGGATCAAATACATCTTCAATCATACTTTTTTATTGATTTCATCATATTTATCTGAGTGAATAAAAATGAACCATTCAGCAAGWATTTCACTGAAACGTACAGAATTTCTTTAGACTTAGTTCAGTTCTTTTGAAATGAGGTGGTAAAAGTTTATGAACAGTTAATATCTTACCTGTTGTCTCTTGTTAAAGTAATTCTGACCCAGTAATTGACGAGTTAAAGGCTAGTCTGAGCAGAACCGGACCAAAGAGCATTGCTGTCATCTCTGAACAACTGGTCCTCGTGGGTCTGCTGTCCTGCATGTTGTGCTTGTTTCCCAGCTCCAACACACCTGATTCACTGATTGCAGAAGTTTGTTAATCAACCATTTATTCAAATCAGGTGTGTTAGAGCAGAGAACCTCTTCAAG